CCATAAAAGCCCCATGTGCCCCAGGGAAAGGCTGGGGAGGACCGTAGGAGCCCCACGTGCCCCTAGGGAGCAGGTCCACATCCGTAGAGAGCCCCATAAACCAGGCCTGTGGCCATAGGGAGGCCCTATGGGGACAAGGGTCTGGCTAGATGTCCCCTCCTCTTCTAGGGTGTCACCAGGTACAGTCCGCACCCCACCCCCAGTGACTCTACTGTTGGGAAGGGCAAGATTTCATCCTCTCCTCTCTCCACTATTTAAACAATTGAGTCCAAATGACTTTTGTACTTTGAACTCATTTTGCATCAATGAAAGGAAGCTGATGACAAAGGAGGAAGTGGGAGAGGGAGAAAGGGAAAATGGAACATTTTAAAAGCAGCTGAAAAACAGGGATGAGAGAGGACTAATTGTGATACTGTCCCTGCTAAATCAGAACAATTGGAGGATATGAGACAGCCCTATCCTTCATAAATTTGTCCAATTCTCTTTTAAAGCCATCTGAGTTGGCAGCCATCACTATCCTTGTGCCAAAATTTTTGTGCTTTTGTGCTGCATAAAGAAGTACCAGCACATATATAGTACCAGACTATATATCAACCTCATGTATAAGTCGAGAACAGGTTTTGGGACCAAAATTATGGATTTTGATATGTCCTGTGGATAAGTTGAGCATAAAACCTTTCACCACTTAGAGATGTGCTACTTCATCTACTTAGAGAAAGGAATGGTTTCTATTTTGATAAGAGTTAAAGTACAGTAATTACATTGACCCATAGATACATCCACCCAGGTATTTTGGGTTGATTTTTTGATTAAAATATCTAGACTTATACATGAGTATATACAGTAGTTCCTTTTTATCTGTCCTAAATCTCCCACCATTTAGCTTAAATGGATGAACCCAGGTTCTAGTAGTACGACATGGAGAAAGGCCATTTCCTATGAATTATGAATAATTTTATATGTCTATATCATAATCGTTATTGTGTATTTTTTCCCTAAGCTGGCCCTTTTGGGAGGATGGCAGGATCTAAATAAAATAAATCAATAAAATAATAAGGACCCCCAAACACTAGCATCGCCTTGTAAGGTAGTTTATTCCAGTCCCCTTAATCATTTAGGCTGCTGTCTTCTACATGTTTTCCAGTTCTATGTTCTCCTTTTTGGAACTGACCATAAATCAGCACAATATTTCAGATATAACCCTACCATGGATTTGTAGAAGTGTAAGATTGATGGTTTTATTTTCAGATCTTTTTCTAATCATGCCTACCATGGAATTCACCTTTTTTGCAGCAGCTGCATAGATCAAACAATATTTTCAGTGAACTACAACAAAAAATCCTCTTTTTGGTCAGTTCCTGCCAGCTCAGAATCCCAAAGGTTTATACAGTCAGCCCTCCATATCCAATGATTCTGCATCTATGGTTTGAAAATATTTAACCACCGCCAAAAAAAATCCCCCCCAAACCCCCTTGGTTTTGCCATTTTATATTAGGAGCACTTATTCCTTGGAGGTCTTTAAGCAGAGGCTGGATGGCCATCTGTCAGGGATGCTTTGATTGGGAGTTCCTGCATGACAGGGGGTTGGACTGGATGGCCCTTGTGGTCTCTTCCAACTCTATGATTCTATGATTTTACACTATTTTACTGAATGATGGGACTTGAGCATCCATGGATTTTGGTATCTACGGTGGGTCCTGCAACCAAACCCCTGTGGATACTGATAGCCCACTATGGCTGCATCCGCACTGCAGAAATAATCGAGTTTGACACCATTTGAACTGCCATGGCTCAATGCTATGGAATTCTGGGAATGGTAGTTTGTTATGGCACCAGAGTTCTCTGACAGAGAAGGCTAAATATCCCATAAAAATAAGTTCCCAGAATTCCATAGCACTGAGCTATGGCAGTTCAAGTGGCATCAAACTGGATTTCCTCAGTTCAGATGCAGCCAATATGTAAGACTGGGATATATATTTGCCATAACAGGCATCACATTACACTTATTTACACTGAATCCCATCTACCAGTTTACTACGCATTTTCCCAATTTGGAGCTCTTCTCAATCCATTTTTCCACCACCATCCCAAATAATTTAGTCATATCAAAAACTTGGCCACCTTGCTACAGATCTGCAGCTTCTAGCAGTCAGATTGGGGGGGGAAAGGGGGAATTAAAAGTAAATATTTCAATTACTTTTCAGAAATGAGGAGCATTGTTCCTCACAACCATGTTAATTACTTTTTAATGGGTCTTGGAAGTACAATTTTAATCATTTTATTTTAAAAAGTATTTTCCTAAGGGTGATAGAAATACAAAACAGATTAACAACCTACTAATACATTATTGGCTTGTCTTCAGAGAGACTATACTAGTTGGCCCCAAGCTACTATCTATTAGCTTTAAAGGTTTCAAATAGGAGTGACTTGAAATGCAAGACAATATTTCATCATGCTTAACTTAAGCATTTGATATCAAATATGTGGAAGCTATTTAGGGTCACAGAGTTAATGGATAATAAGGACCAATACTCTGTCAATATGTAGATACACAGTAGAAAACATAGGACTTAGAAGAAATTGCAAATCTAGTTTTTAAAGTTTGCATCAGAGTGGGCCTCTCTCGCAAGGAAGCCAAAACTTCTGACATGTGCACAGTTATAGAGATTACTGGAAGATTTGGGGAATGCTAGAAATGTTTGAAATTTATTTTCTTTTTCTAAAGTTGCTTTCCCCTTATCTTTAACAATATAAGAGATATTAAAGATGAGATGCCTCAACAAAGGAATGCTTTGTTGTTGTTGTTTTTAAAAAACTAAGTTTCTTGCCAAAAATCTTGAAACTTCCAGCTCTTCAAAATAAGAAAAACAACCAACTGCATTTCTGACGCAATCTTACTTTTGTTTTTAAAGCTCTGAGATGGAAAATGACAAATGATTCAGGAATGCTCAGTCCACAAAAACAGAAAAACCATACAAGGCATAGTAGGCATTGGGACGGATCCAGATTTAGTGATTTGATTCACATTTAGCAACAGATTTCTCTCTCCTCTTCTTCTCTTGTAGAGCTTCCAAAATGCTTAGGTGAATCACACTCTCTCAGCTCCAGAAAACCCATAAATGCTATACAGAGGATTAGAGGAATCCTGCTACTGCAGAAATAATCCAGTTTGAGACTACCGGTAATTTAACTGCCCTGGCTCATTGCTAGGGAATCCTGGGAATTCTAGTTTATTGTGGCACCAGAGCTATCTGACAGAGAAGGCTAAATGTCTCACAAAACTACAGTTCCCAGGATTCCTTAGCAATGAGCTCATGAAGTTAAAGTGGCCTCAAACTGGATTATTTCTGCAGTGTGTTTTGGACCTGAGATGAGCTATGGTGCTCTCCAGATAGTTTGGACTACAATTCCCACAATCCTGGGATTGTGGACTACAATTCCAACAATCCAATTCCCACAATCCTGAGGGATGATAGGCCATAACATCTGGAGGACTACAGATTCCCCATCATTGTTAAAAGGTTGTGTTCTGGATTTTCTTTTTCAACATTATAACATAACACAAATAAATACTAATTCCCCCCTAAAAAAAAAAAAAAAGCAATAGTGATTAAAGGAATTTGAATCAGAGCTCGGGGATACTGTCCCAAGATGTTTTCTTTCTTAGCCTGCAATTCCCATCAGACATAGCAAGTTCACCTAGCGCTGAGGACTGATGGGAGTTACATTCCCTCAGATATTTTGGCCTATAACTCCCATCACCCCTCAGAATTGTGGAAATTGGATGGTTGGAATTGTTGGAAGGGTGACATGGGTCCAAACTACACTGCAGAAATAATCCAATTTGAGACCACTTTACCTGCCCAGGCTGAATGCTAGGGAATTCTGGAAGCTGTAGTTTTCCGAGACATTTAGTCAGAGAGCTCTGGTGCTACAATAAACTACAATTCCCAGGGGTATATATACTGTGTGACCCTTGGCTGAGAGGATTAGCATGTAAATCTGTGTATTGTTCTGTTGAGGCAAGGCCTCAGGGTGTGAGGATATCTGAGGAGGATTAGTGTCTATTTAATTAATAGTCCATTGTCTGATGGGAATTAGCATATAAATTAGCATGTAAATCTGTGTATTGCTCTGTTGAGGCAAGGCCTCAGGGTAGAAGGATATGCGAGGAGGATTAGTGTCTATTTAATTAATGGGCCATTGTCTGCTGGGAATTAGAATACGGATGCCAGCCATGAAAGCCTTCAACTTCACGGGTCCCAAATTATTTCTCTCAGGTGTAGTGGTTTGACAGACTACCTCCCTGGAGACCCAAGTTCGAGTCCCCACTCAGCCATGGAAAGCCACTGGGTGATCTTGGGCAAGTCACACTCTCAACCCCAGAAAACCCCATGGAACGACTTGAAGGCACACAACAACAGCAAAAAATATGAGTCACTGAACGTCTATGACTGGGATGCAGCTGTGAACTCAGCCAGAGAGGGAGACAGCCACATCGTGAGCACCCATTTTTGGAGAACAAAGGTTGCCTTCCTGGTGTACTGTTTTGTTGTTGTGTATTGTGTATACCTTCAAGCTGTTTCCAACTTAGGGCAACCTAAGAGAGAAAGAAAAATCATGGGATTTTTCTTGTCAGGTTTATTCACAGTTTTTGTTTTGTTTTTTTCGCCATGGCCATCCTCTTAGGTTGAAACATAGTGTTGCTGTTGTTGTTGTGTGCCTTCAAGTCGTTTCCAACTTACGGTGACCCTAAAGCAACCCTATCATGGGTTTATTTGGCAAGTTCCTTTAGAGGAGGTTTGTCATTGCCTTTCCC